AGGGCCAGCGTGGGCCAGGGTCCCAGGACTTGGCAGTGAGGAGGGTGGTAAGAAGGCCTGGGGACTTAGATCCAGAACCAGGCGGCCAAGGGCTGGGCCCAGCAGAGGGCGGCAGTGAGGGAGGGGCTGGGTTAGGGGACAGGTGCGGATAGAAGAGGGTGCAGGCGAGCCGCCCCCTGCCCCAGGTGCCTGGCCGAGGGCTAAAATACTACCTCCTGGCCCCTCAGATCTGTGCGCTCTCCGGGGGCTCAGTCTAACTGGTCTCTGCAGAGGGGGTGCCTTTTTATAACCTTCACCAAGGCCCTGTGTGCTAACGGCCGCCCGGAGGAGAGGGGTGGGGGGGTGGGGGGGGTGGTGACAGGGCTGGATCCCGGCCATGGCACCACGTGGTCCCCGGCTTGGCCATTCTGTCTGCCTCCTCTGGCCAGCAGGGGTGGGAGGAGGGATGCTCCAGGGGGTGAAGTGGGGGCTGTGGGCCAGGGCCTGGGAGGGCGCCCTGGGCAGGGTGCCCTGAGCTGCAGCCCCGGCCGGCACCCTCACTCCGCCCCGACCGTGCCCTCAGGTCGGATGCCATCTACTCGGCCCGTTACGACGGCTCCGGCCACATGGAGGTGCTCCGGGGACACGAGTTCCTGTCCCACCCGTTCGCGGTGACGCTGTACGGGGGGGAGGTGTACTGGACAGACTGGCGGACAAACACGCTGGCCAAGGCCAACAAGTGGACCGGGCACAATGTCACCGTGGTACAGAGGACCAACACCCAGCCCTTCGACCTGCAGGTGTACCACCCCTCCCGGCAGCCCATGGGTAAGGGCCCGAGGAGCCAGCGGCCTTGTCAGGCCTGTGAGAGAGGAGGGCTTTGTGCTGGACCGGAGCCCGCTGACAGAGAAGGGCTGGCGGCGGGCGGTGCTGAAGCAGGGAGGATGGGAAGGGGTGAAGAGGGGTGCTCCAGCCCGGCCGGTGTGGCTCAGTGGTTGAGCATCGACCTATGAACCAGGAGATCATGGTTCGATTCCTGGTCAGGGCACATGCCCAGATTTCAGGCTCGTTCCCCAGTAGGGGGCGTGCAGGAAGCAGCCTATCAAAGATTCTCCCTCATCTTGGATGTTTCTATCTCCCTCTTCCTTCCTCTCTGAAATCAGTAAAGATATATTTTAAAAAGAAGAAGAAGAGGGGTGGTTCAGGAGAGAAAGGCCATGGAGGGCCCAGCAAGTCATAGGATGTTCTTGCTTCTCCTCTCTCCCCCCACCCAGCTCCCAACCCCTGCGAGGCCAATGGGGGCCGTGGCCCCTGCTCCCACCTGTGTCTCATCAACTACAACCGGACGGTCTCCTGCGCCTGCCCCCACCTCATGAAGCTCCAGAAGGACAACACCACCTGCTACGGTAGGAGCCCTTCCTGCAGGGCTGGTGGTCACGAGGCTCAGGGAGGAGTCGGCACCCGGGGGCTCCCGTGTCACTGCAGGTAGACAGTGAGCCGGGAGGGACCCGCTGGGGAGGCTCAGGGCAGCCTCGGTAGGACAGGCGGGGCTACCGCAGGGAGGTCACCCCAGGGGGAGCGCGGCTTCTGGACGCTGAGGGCCAGCAGCCAACAGAAGGGACGCGGAGCAGGGACCGTGATCTGGTGGGGGTGGGGGGCGCGGAGCACGGAGGCAGGGCTGCCTTCAGCAGTGACCCCCCCCCCCCACCCCGTGCCCCGCAGAGTTTAAGAAGTTCCTGCTGTACGCACGTCAGATGGAGATCCGGGGCGTGGACCTGGACGCCCCCTACTACAACTACATCATCTCCTTCACCGTGCCCGACATCGACAACGTCACGGTGCTGGACTACGACGCCCGCGAGCAGCGCGTGTACTGGTCCGACGTCCGGACGCAGGCCATCAAGAGGGCCTTCATCAACGGCACCGGCGTGGAGACGGTCGTCTCTGCAGGTTCTGCCTGGACCCTGCCCCCACCCGCCCTGGCTCCCCACCGGGCCCCTGGTGCCCCCTCCCTGTGCCCCTGCGTCCCTCGGGGTACTGCGGCCTGGTGTCCTGATTCCCCTTCCCCACAGAAGACAGGCTGCCCCGACCCCCCCACTCTGCCCTGCCACCCCCAACCACCACCTCCCCGCTGTGCCCCCAGACTTGCCGAATGCCCACGGGCTGGCCGTGGACTGGATGTCCCGGAACCTGTTCTGGACCAGCTACGACACCAACAAGAAGCAGATCAATGTGGCCCGGCTGGACGGCTCCTTCAAGAACGCAGTGGTGCAGGGCCTGGAGCAGCCCCACGGCCTGGTTGTCCACCCCCTTCGTGGGTCAGTCCAGGGCCAGGGTCAGGGAGCGGGAGGTGGGGGGCAGACGAGGATGCTGAGCCCCTCCTCCTCCCCCAGGAAGCTGTACTGGACCGACGGTGACAACATCATTATGTCTACATGGACGGCAGCAACAGCACTCTGCTCTTCAATG